GCCACGCTGGACTATGATGGCCCTAACGATGACCTCTGAAGCCCCTTACGACTACTTTTGAGGGCCCTTACGATGACGTTTGGTGTCTACTGCAGGCTCGAAGGGACTACTGATTCGTTCAGGCGATTCACGTGCCTATTTATGTCACTTTTAGTGCAGGGGGCATCTTACCCAGCGCCAGGGGGCGTCTTTTCCACCCTGTGGGGTAAGATGCCCCCTTTCACTTCTTCAGGAAAATGTTTGATAGCAAAAAAGTTATCATATTTCAGGCACGAAAGTGTGATATTTTTGGAGAAAAATGATGTCGGCTTCCGTTGAAACTGAAAGTTTTGGCTTTCCGATCGTCATTTTCGAATAATATATGACATAGTCAAACCCTGGGCATCTTTCCCCACTCTCCCCTACGTTCTAAACGTATGTCAGGCCACGGTCATGCCAAAAGGTCACAGTTATAAGTTGTGCGTAAAATGTCAATAAATTGTCTACCATATGCAGTTTGTGATCAGGAGCGCGCGATTTATTTTTGCTATTTTTTTCGTGCTATGCATATTGCGTGTGACGTCTTCCATTCCACACGGGACACATCGATCTTCTTCTCATCGGTCGAGGGAAAGTTTGAGGGCTTGAGATCTCTTGCCGTTTCGTTCCTAATTGAGCTAAAGCTTCACAGAAAAAGAGCCACAATGTTAGCACCAAAGTGTTTTCCATGTTTAACCCGCGCCCCGTTGGGCTCTGCCGAGCAACGCGCCCGGTTGGGGGGGGGGGCCATTTTGCCCCCCCCTAAGATCTCGAGAACCACGCAACATAGCGACAAGCGGTAAACGGCGTTGGATAGCCCTAACGAAGAACTACCTTGTGACCCAATTTTATTGACCTAGGTCAAACCGATGACGTCACAGGTCAGGTCAAAGGTCCAATTTTCACCGTTTACAGGCACTTCAAGAAATGCGTTGTAAAATCGAGTAAAATGCATTTCATTGAAAATCATCGATGGGGAAATGTTCTTCAAACACATATTTTGCTATTTGAGGTCACTGATACCAGGTCAGGTCACAGAGGTCAGGTCACGGGGGGGGTCACAATATGAAAGTGTCGTGTGCTACATGTTTTATGGTCCATTTTACATGACAAATGCGATTATATGGGTCAGACAGCCTTTGGGGCCAGCTTAGATCACGTTTTGGTCAAGGTCAGGTCAAGGTCAGGTCAAGGTCAGGTCAAATTAGGTCAAATTTCAAAGTTAATATTTTTGCATAAAATGGGTATCGAATCGATGCAACTCGTCATGGGGAGTTCAATGGTGGTCTTTGTTTTGCCGTACGTGGTCTAGAATTGCTAAAAATTGAGTTCAAAAATTTGACGTCATCATTTTTGAACAGTTTTTTCGCTATAACTTGGCCAAAAAACGAGATATCGATCTGAAATTTGGTATGTATATAGAAGAGCGCTGGGACTATCACATATATTCCGGTTTCTTTGAAATTCGGAAAATTTTTGGATTTTTTCAAAGTTTTTCTAAAAAAATTAATTTTTTGAATTTTTTTCGGTCAAAAACCAAAAATTTTGAAAATCCGAGATAGCAGTTTTGTAGCGCCGCTTTTTGTCTACTAGACCGTATAAAGAACTTTGAAATTGCTTGATAACTGTAGATTTGGCGAGCGTTTAAAGATTGCATGTTTTTTGCTCATTTTTGCTCGAACATGACCTCAGTTTGACCTCAATAACTCCTGACCTAAGGTGACCTAAGACTTGAAATTTGGTGTGAAGGTGTCAAATTGATGCCCGGGAAGGTACTGAAAATTTGGCGGCGCTGCGCGCCGCCGTTTTCCTGCTATTCAGGAAAAACCACAGGGGGGGGGGCCAAAATGGCCCCCCCCCCCCCCAACGGGGCGAGGGTTAATAAAGCACGTCCACGGTCCATGCCTATGCAGTCTTTGTTTCGAAAAAGGTCAACATAGGGTGATGAGCTCAGGTCAAGGCCAGGTCACAGCCGCTCAAGTCAGCAGACTGGTCAAATGAGGTAATGTTGCGCATCATTCGATCCGGCAGGATAGGTGTTTTTCGACGAATCAGTAGCTCAATTTAATCGAGTTATTTACGAAAAATATGACCTTAATTGACCTTAGTGACGTTACATATGATGTCATGCAAGGTCCCCGATGCAAGATTAATCATAGAATCTCGCGAGAAGTGTATTAAAAGCACTATTCAGGATGCTTGACATGGTCTTATACGATTTCCAGCGCCAAAATAACAATTTGCATACTTTCCCAATGGTGAGGTCACGTGACTGGCCTGACCTCAAGTCAGGCGACCTGACCCTATGAATCTGAAAGGTTCAAGGTGTGAGGGTTCAGGAGCTAACTTCTTTTGCAAAGTTGCAATCGCTTAACGCGTAATTACGAGCAATCGCGAACAACCGTCTGCTGTCAGAGTGAAGGAAACCAACCTCCTTGGCATAAGAAGGTTAACCCGCGCCCTGGTGGGGGGGGGGGCTATTTTTTGCCCCCCCTCCAGACTTTTCAATATATCTCCGGAACCGCTGCGCCGATCGTCACCAAACTTTCAGTACCCTCCCGGACATCAATTTTACACATTGTGACCAAAAATATTTTCAAAGGCTATGATAGGTTGGCCGGAAATGACGTCAGAGTGACGTCATGTTCTGCCGTTTTCGACCCAAAAAAGGGTTTCGCGGGAAGAGCTGTCAGGCCTATAGCTTTGCAAATACAGAAAAATGATAAAGACATAAAAGCTGTAGATTGGACAGGGCTACAAAACTGCCATCTCGGATTTTTGAAATTTTTGGATTTTGACCCCCAAAAATTAAAAAATAGATTTTTTGGATATAATCATCGAAAAATCGAAAAAGTTTTTTGAATTTCGCTAAAACCGGAATATATGTGATAATCCTTACCGCCTTCCATCCACATACCAAATTTGAGATTGATACCGCTTTTTTTGGCGAAGTTATAGCGAAAAAACTGTTCAAAATTGATGCCGTCAAATTTTCAAACTCAATTTTTAGCAATTCTAGACCCCGTAGCGCAAAACAAAGACCACCATTAGACTCCCCGTGACGAGCTGCATCCAATCAATACCCATTTTATGCAAAACTATCAACTTTAAAATTTGACCTTTTTTGGCCTGACCTTGACCTGACCTTGACCTGAACTTCACCAGAAAGTGACCTAAGCCGTACCTGATAGTCTTATAACCAACACCATTAAGTTGGAAATGAAAAATTGGCCATAAAACATGCATCACACAACCTTAGTAAAGTTGGGCTCATGTGACCTGACCTGTGACCCTTGGTGACCTGACCTGTGACCCTTGGTGACCTGACCTGTGACCTGACCTGGTATTGCCAGTGACCTCTAATAGCAACATATCCACTAGGCAACTGACGCCCTACCGCTGATTCTCGACAAAATGCGTTTTCCTCGGTGTTATAGCGCATTCCCTAGAAGACCCGTGAACGGTGAAACATGTCATCTTTGACCTGACCTGTGACGTCATCGGTGACCCCGAGGTCAATGAAATTTGGTTTCCCTCGACAAATTTGACAGTCCTTTCGAACGCCGTTTGAATTTTGCGGATCCGTCCAGTATTTTCGGAGATACGAGGGGGGGCAAAAAATAGCCCCCCCCACCAGGTCGCGTTATAAACAGACCCCACCAGGGCGCGGGTTAACTCCGAGCACGATTTAAACGAGGTCTTAAGTGGAGATCTGATGAATGTTAAATCACAATAATATCGCTGTCGCTGATAGTGATGACGTCTTGGGTCAGGTCAAAGGACGCTGCTCAGCGCTGTTGTTTCTGCAGATGGCGGCGCGGCGGCGCCGGGGCTGTGGCGCCAGCTGCGGTCACTGGCGCAGCTCTGCTGGTGGCTGGGTCTGTGGCCGCTGACTGAGGCCGAGGACGGCCTGCCGCGCCCCATCAGTAGCCGCTGGCGCCGCCTGTTGCACGCCGCCCTGGTGGCCGCCCATCTGCTGCTCATGTTCGTCGTCGGCATGGTGGTGACGGCGACCCTCTCCGCCGCCACCGGCGTCTCGGCCTGGTTCAGGAACCTGACGGGCGGCACCAGCACCAGCGCCGTGGTGGTCCCCGGCCTGCTGATGAGCGGAGCCGCCTGCTGGCTGCTGCTGGTGCTGACCGTGTACCGCCGACGCGGCCGGCTCGGCCGGCTGCTGGTGCGCTGGGCCCTGCTGGAGGAGCGCGCGGGGGCCGGCCCCGGCCGCGCCGGACTGCTGGACTGGCTGGTACCGGTGGCCGTCTTCACTGCCACCGTCACCGCGCAGCTACTGGAATGGAAATCAACCAGCCGATTGATGGGACTGGAACACGAAAATCGCCTGTTCGCCCTCCTCACTGACCTGTGGTAGGTGTCGCTGTCATATGTCACATGTCCATGCAGGTGCCAATGTCATGTGTCACGCATCGCTACAATGTGTCGCTCAGTCGCTGTCATGTGTTACTGCCACTTGTTAGTTTCAGGTGTCACTGTCAGACGTTACTGTCAAATAACACCTTTCCTTTGGAAAACGATAGGGAACTAAATCGATACCGATAATTATAAGGAATCTCTGTTTCTGTATCCAGCCCTCTATTGTATATGCTTTTGATATCAATGCTCGAAAATTTTGATTTTTTTAGGTAATCAGCCATGCTACTTAACTTTAAAAAGAATGTGACATAGGTATTTTCTGTTCATCCATAAGAAAACAATTACAAACCTCTAACTATATCGTTGAAATGTTTACGAATTAATCCACCAATTAAAAAAGTATGAGGGCTAAAAGTTGTCACGTGTGTACTTCATCCATCGTTGTATCACGAACTCCGGCGGTCGCATCACTGCCTCCGTCATAATTTACTGTCAGTCTCTCATGAGTCATGACCACTGTCCGTTACCACTGCCTGCCAGCCTGTCACCACTGCCTGTCACCACTCCCTGTCACTACTGTCCGTCACCACTGACTGTTGTTCTGTCACGGGGCGATGTTCGACAGGCGCCTCCACCTCTCCTCGCTCTGGCAGTGGAGCGTGCTTCTGCCGCTGGTATTTCTCCAACAGGGGGCGCGCGAGTTCCGTCGCCTTGCTCGCTGGGTGGAGACAGAGCTGAGTCAGCCCGTGTCCGACTCCCACCTGGGGCACCTGGTCGGCGTCTACAACGAGCTCTGGTGAGGTCACACTGGCCACGGCGCCCTCAGGGCGATCCCCGGGACCGGCAGCTGTAGACATGGTGATTGAAAGTTACCGGCAGAAACACCCCAACCGTTAGGGAAGTATTTGAAAGGTGCTCTGAAATTATTTTACCCCGTGAATGGTCTTGTAGGTCGGTGCATGATTTTGTGAAAATAATCACTAATCTCTGCACTTGATAACTTCGCTCTACGCCTCCGCGCTTCCACTCCCGTTTTGATGATGGCAAGGACTAAGGAATAACTATTTAACTAACTACCTAGTCGATGCGCCATCCCAGTAGCGCCCATTTCCACACATCTGACCCCACCGTTCTGTCAGCAGCTGCCTCTCCGGGCTACTCTGCAGCAGTCTGGCGCCGTCCATCTTTACCTCGCTGATGATGCTGACCAGCAGCATCACGGTCATGGTGTACCAGTCGCTGGTGTACTACCTGCCGCGCTGCGCTGCCGACCCGCGCGGCGACTCGCTCTGCTGCGCCGTGTCTGCCCTCGCCACCGTCTGCATCGCCAGCGGTCTGATGTGGCGCACCTTCAGCGTCTGCCACTGGGCCACGGAGGCCGCCGATCAGGCTCGCCGTCGACTGAAGCACGCCGCCGCCGCCCCGCGCCGCCCTTTGCCCCGGCCCGTGCTGGACAAACTGCACCTGACCGCCTCCGGGTACTTCGTCCTGGACCGGGGGATGTTTTTTCATCACTCGTACAGCATCTTCACCATGTGTGTCATACTGATACAGTTCGCACAGGACGAGAAATGAAACTAGAGACGATTGTTGCCGGGCACAGGCGATGGCGCCCCAGCTCTCCTTTGAACGGTCTAAAAATGTCGCGGCTTCACAACACCGCCAGTGCCAGGAGCACTTCCGCATGGCCAAGATAAAATTGCAAGACATGGTAAGCTCCCCAGTCCTCGCAACTCATCCATACATCATGGATTTTTCATAAAATATGCCTGAGGTTAGGTCGGTACCGTAACGTCGCTGTTTTAAAACGATGGGGAAACATAAAAACTGTTATTTTTGCGTCGGAAATGATTTTTAGACGAACAGAAAAATCTGCATTATATGCACTCCGTGGGAGTGCATAAAATCACTATTAGATTATCATCTGTGATAATCTGATACTTAGGTTTTGCATAGTGGAATTTATGCAAGGTCATATTAAAATTGGACATGCGCTACTTGGGTCTCGTACCGGTGCATGCGATCTTTTTCACGAAGCTTTAGCTCAATCAGAGGCGAGGCGTTACCTATAACCCACAGCGTGGACTGCTGCTGTAAATAGCTGTGTACACTGTACGGACCGTCAGCACGAAGTCATCGGGACTCACCGTATCGTTGGAGTCCTCGCGCCACGGCTGAGGCCGCGCTGGGTCGTGTCGGGAAGCCCGTGCATGGCCCGTGCAGCCCGCCGCCTATCTGCATCCTCGATCTCGGCGCAATTCGGCGCCCCAGACAGACCTGCAGTCGGTGCAAACCGGGACGTGACCATGACGGCGAGGAAGTCGAATATGTCATGCCTGTCACGGAGACAAATTGTCGACGGCTTCTGCACGGCAACCTATGACGAGCTGCAGGAGGCGGACGAGGCGGACCACATTGTTGCCGGCTCAATCGCGTGTTGATATCGTCTCAACAATCGATTCGCTCAGCATAAGCGATGTGAGTAATGTTTCAGCAAATTTAGAACCTGCCTCATCTTAGATTCTCGTATGGAGACCGATGGATCATCGCTTTACGTGATAATATACCGAGTATGCCAGTGAATTCAGTCTTTTTTCGGCAGTCGTATCGTACTGAGGAAGGGATATTCATCGTGGTTCTACGACTACTCGTCAGTCATCACTCAACGCCTTATTGAGCGAGAGCGTAACAAAGAGAGCGAAATTCCGGATGGCTGGAGGGTGACATACCTACACAAGAGTTTAGCCAAAATATATTGGCAGCACTAACAAAGAAAATTCATTGTAAATATCATCTTATTCTTGATCTTACTTTGTAGTTTTTACAATTTACTTTCGCTCTATCCCAATTCCTCGTCCCGTGCACAATATTTATTTGTGCACTTTAATAAGCGATCAGACAGAGCTATAAAAAGAAAAAATCCATACCTAATAAGAGGCACCGATGATTTATCATTCATGTCAGTACAGTCAGTTTATCTCATATTCACATAACTTCGGAGTATTTCTAGCGCATATGAAAAGAAAGCAGGAGACTGAGTCAGAAAGAATACAAAACCTGCAGGCAGAAAGGACACGGGCGAGGCATTGAGATTACTGAGAGAAACATACAGACAGACGGACACGAAAAAGGAACATTGGGATGTACGGGAGTCCGGAACGGACTAGGGGATAGAAGGGGCAGACGGGGACAAAAAGACACACTGAGCCAGTCGGGGCTAAAATGAACGTAAGTAAGTAACAGAAGGGGCATTTACGGATATACAGTAGGGCGGGTCATCCGAGAACTTTTTTTCGAGGACACAAAATGAAGACCGAAATTCCTACGGAGCATGTCACAAGAAGACTGTGTGAATTTTTTCAATTTTTTTGGTTGAGGTTGCGGGTCGCCGCAGCCAATTAATCAACCGGGTTTTTCGCTACATTTTCACTGCACGCGAGTTTTGAGCACAAATATCATATAATTAATTATTTTCAAACATATACCTCGAAACTTTAGCTTTTCCTCAACCTATTCTGTAAGTCTGTTGGCTGTATCTCTCTAACTGTGGCCATGGTGCCATGCTCTCTGTATCGGTTTTCCGCAACTCGATTGCAGCGCCATCTCTTGAGAGGACTGTTAACCTGCGTCGGTCGAGACAATATGCATTCTGCTGATGCGATCTTAGGACGCTGATGAAAAAACGTGAGGCACAGGAGCGTATATAGCGTGAAAGCTGTCAATTGCAATTAAATTAGCCATGAAATTTACATATTAGGGGTTCACCTGACTTTAGCACAGCCATTATTCGCCAAGTGCGATAGTGTCCGCTGGACCTATTAGTCATTTAATTCTGCGCTGAGACTTCAGCAGCATTATTTTCAGTTTTGGCTTCGATTATTTTCTTGCATGTAAATTTAACCTTTTGTTAATGCAAACCTAGTGTTAGAACTGAACAGTAGCAGCTCAATTGCAGAATAAGTAGGTACTAAGTTAGCCCGGCTTCATCTGACAGCAGACTGAGGATGAGTTGCGAGGTATCCTGCTGATCGGCGATCCGCGTATCATATCACTGCCCGAGTCGCGCGTTCTCATCGGACCATCAGAGCCCATTTTGATGACCTATTGGGGCTGGGCCACCGCAACAAGCAGTGGAGCATCGAGCTTTGAGGGAAACTGACCTCATAATAACCGCAGTAGTAGCTGCTAAGCGGTCGCCGGCGCAATTTGTGATCCCAATCATGTGGCATTGTTGCAGTTAGTGGAAAGGAGCCTCCATGTCGAAACGGAACTAATGCCGCGTGGTGGTCCTCGGTGACACTTCACATTCTGTTCTCGGATAGGCAAGTGATTACAAAGGAAATGCCCTTCTGCATTTTACGTGCATAAGGATGCGTCGTTTATCATGATAAATAGGATAGCCGTGCTGGATCATCGGCTAGGACGAGCCTGCTGGACGAGCATATTGCTTCAGTAAATGAGCCGGTAGTCAGTGCTTATTCTATTTTACACCAAAATCAGACAAGGGCCAAATTATTAAACAAGTTTACAAGACTTGTGGAAAAGCCACTGGACTAAAGCCGCGCCGATCAGTGGACCATTTACTAAGAGTGCCTGTGCATCGAGCAGGAACCGTTCGTGCCGTTTCGGGCAACGCCATGCAGTCCAGATCAGAGAACACTTCTGAACAGCCCGGAAGCAGATGTCACCTCTTGACAAATCCTGAGGTAGCTGTCAGTAAGGAAGCTTGAGCCCTTGAATTTGGTAAAATGGCTTACGTTGGCAGCTTGCAAGTTACGTATTCCGTCGCGATCGCCCATCATACAACATATATTGACCAGCTTCGAACTATCACCGAGTTCAATGTTGTTCACTATGTCCCAATGTGGTCCGAAATTACGGAGTAAACATTGCAGAGACGGATTACTCCAAAGCATCCCGCTATTGCGAGACCTCTCAGCTCATCGGTCTGTGTCATTTGCCCAGTGATCGACAGGAATAAGTACCGGGCTCACTATAGGAAACTTTTTTGGACTGCCACTAGCCGATACAGACAGCCAGCAAACAGTGCATACGCTGCGATGCTTGCTGAACTAAGGAATGGTGATAAAAAGACTCGAGACACTTACGGCAAAAAAGTATAGGAAGTGAATGAGGCAGGAGACAAAGATATGCAATTCTATCAGCATTTTGCAATAAACAAGTCATGCACTACATGCAGCTCATAGATCGGTCCAAAAAACCCGTTACAGAGTCACCAATAGCAATCTCGCTGGAAGAGGGTGACCTTCGACCCGCTGCTTAGCAAATTAATTTCGATCCGGTGCATACCCATACTCACTACTCAGGCAGTGGAGCGAGCCGTCCGGCTCCTAACTTAGGCAGCATACGCTGTTGTTATTAAGAGAGCACGTCTCAGTTACATCATGTGTGCCATCAGGACGCAATGCAGCGCTCTCATGCCGGCGTTTGAATCAATTATCGAAGTGTGATTTTCTGTCCTAGGACGGTAAGGTGGCTGGCTACATTGTATTAAAAAATGAACATACGGTTTGGACTGATGTTATCTGTCTGCAAAACTTAATTTAACTGATAAACATATATCAAAGTTAAGCATCTCGCTGTTTTCTTGGTGAAATCACTATAGGTATAGCTTCCGGAGCAACTTAGTATATGGATCGAATGGGTACAACTCACCTAGCGTCAAATAAGGAACACCAGACACCTAGGAACACCAAAGAACACCATATACCCGACGTGGCAGCGGCAATATACCCTGGCAGCGGCTGCGTCAGCTTTTAACGGTCGGAAAGCCGTCAAAACCAATGTTATGCCAAACTCGCTCAATAGATGGCGCTGGTTTCGTTGCGCTCAGATCGCCGATGCTAATCGCTATTCTGAGCACGATTCTGCCACTGGGGTTTCCAAACTTTGTGAAGAGGTGGGGGTAAGCATGTAGAACTAGGTAAGTGGTAAATATAGTATCTTTCTCGATTTTTTCCTACTAAATTTTGCAAACAACGAGAAAAATTAGCAAAAGTGGTCTCGAAAAACCGTGTACGGCGCGCCCAGTTCCTTTTCAAAAATTCGCAAAAAATATGTTTTAACCGTTTTATGGATCAGCCCGTAGGAAAATCGCTCTTCACTTGAAAACTTTTTTCATCGACCCGCCCTAATATACAGTAACAGAAAGGACGCATAGGAATAGAAACGGCATACCTACATGAAACGAAGCATGTAACTCATAGGGACATAGTTATAAGTAAAATATAGGGAAAAGATGGTGACATAGAAGGCAAATGAGAACATGTTAGAAGCAGTTATGGGGACGCACGGGACAGGAAGGACATTTTGAATACATTTTGACGTTGGGGATTCATTGAACTTCACACAAGTCTTAGCAGCGAATACTTCGGTTCTAATACGGGTAAAACACAATGCTTGAAGATATAGAAAATAGCAAATGGTATCATTTCATCGCATCTGACATTAATAAAAAAAAAAACATTTTATTGTTTAAAGCTACCTCAATGACTTTATCACAAAATATTTGTTAAGATTATTCATTACGTGATTTTCAAAACGTCATCGGTAAATATAGGCAAAAAATATTATATGATATAAGCCTGCCCGCCCACAGACAATGGATGCAAGGATTAATGGCCGGTGGATACTTACTCGGCAACTGCAGCGCTGTTTGATCATCTTACCGGTCCTGCTTTTCACCACATTCAGACAAAATATGTGCATTAATCTAGTGGAACATTTTCTGCCCTCGATCTGATGTCCGCTGGCGGGCAGTGGGGGAGGCGGGGAGCTGAGGGGATGGCTGACCGGCCGCGCGACCTCGCTCCACGCGGCCCGGCGCCCAGCTCGGCCGCTGATTGGCCCGCCGCCCGGCGGTCACGTGACCCAGTCGACCCCAGACTGAGCCGCGGGCGCAGGTCAGTGTCTCGGCGGGCGGGCTCACGGCAGTGTGCGGAGGGAAACACGGCGACAGCGGCAGCGGCGATGGACTCCAAAATTATCTTCCTGTGAGTGTGTACGGGGAGGGTGAGGTGTCAGCTGGGTACCTATGTGTTGAACCGTATTCAGTATTGACGTGTGCTTCATGTAATCCTGTTTTATACCGTGCAATTAAATTTCAACCGATCCTATAAATACGTGCTTCATGATGAATTATGGCAAACTCTGGACTTGAAAATTGCTGTTTCAGTTGCGTGTTATGGCGTTGCACATCGTCCTGACCTCATCCCGTTCTCCACAGGCTATGCGCGCTGGCGGCGGCTGCACTGGCCATGCCGCCCCACCTGCCGGAGACTGAACCCGTCCCGATCGAGGTGAGTCGTCAAACGGCCTCTAAACCGCAAGGTCAAGGCGGCGTAATATTTGGATCGTTTTATACTAAAGCTCATCTTATATTTAAAAGGCCTTCAGCCAGCTTATTCATGCTTTAGTCTGTACAGTCCTAAGATCGTGGCTGCGGTGCCGTAATTGTATTCAAAGATCTAGCTTGCAGCTTGCAGCACGTCCGGCCTTCTAACGCTTGTTTTCATTGATCGCAACACTGGAGCATGGAATGTTTACGCTACCCGGATGGCCCCGGGCCCAACCCGACCTTGCCCACCGCTGTTCCTGTAAGCGTCCGTCGGACGCCCGCCCGGAGCACTGTCCTCCCAGCCCGCCATGCCTAACTGACTTTTCCCCCGCAGGTGCGCGCGGAAGAGGACCTGCTGGACGAGATGCTGGAGTACATGTCGGAGGACGAGGTGCTGGACCTGCTCTCCCAGGAGACTGACGAGCACACCGTGGATGCCGTCTCCGACGCCATCCTGCGCCGCACCGAGCGAGACTCCTACGGCAACTGCCTGACTGGCCCCAACGTGGACTCTCCGTTCTGCAACTTCCTCAGACGCCACCTGGAATCTGTCCGCTTCGTGCCCGTATCTGACGGCGGGCAGAGCTCCGGATCCGAGGCTGGAACCAGGTTTGCCACTGGCTCCGGATCGTCCGAATCCTCTAGCTACAGCAGCACGGAGACTCAATTCGGAGGCAGCGCCGGGTCTGGCTCTTCTGGTTCTTCTGGCGCTAGCTTCGGCACCGAGAACAGATTCGGAAACTCTGCTGGCTCCGGCTCCGGCCCTGCTTTTGGCTCTGCTGGATCCTCCGGCTCTGGCTACAGCGCCGGAAACAGATTCGGCGGTGGTGCTGGGGCGAGTGCTGGCTCCGGCTCCGGTTCTTCGGGATCTTCCGGCTCCAGCCAAGGCTCTGCAACCCGCTTTGGAGGCAGCTCATCTGGATCGACCGGCTACGGCTCTGGAAACCGCTTCGGAGGCGGTGCTGGCTCCGGCTCCGGGTCGGGCTCTGCAGGCGGCTCCGGCTCTGGAAGCGGCTCTGGTGCTGCTTCCGGTGGCGCGTCCTTCGGTTCTAGCTCCGGCGGCTCTGCTGCCGGCCGCTTCGGGGTCCAGCTGGAACCTTCGACCTCCCACGACGACTGCCTGCCGCCTGTGACGCACATCGTCCGGGAGGCTGTAGAGTACCTGCCCAAGACCATCTACAACACCCAGCACCTGATCCTGCCGAGCACGCGCGTGCTGACCATGGTCGAGACGGAGGCCTACCCGCAGCCCGTCTACGAGACGGTGACCACTGTGCTGGCGCAGCCGGACAAGACCATCACGGCCACCATTCTGCAGCAGACTGAGCGCACGCTGGACGTGAACAGCGTCCGGCAGACGGACGTGCTGCTGCGATCCACAAAGCTGCACATCTTCACTGATACCCGCGACTACTTCTGGACCAAGACAGAGGTGCAGCCGTTCTACGAGACAGTCACTCGCACCCTGACATCCGACGTGCCCACAGACTACTCTCACCAGGTGAGACTCCTTTTTCCTGAATTTTAGTCTGTTTAACTCTGTTCACTTATCTGTTCTGTAGATTGTTCACCTGTCAGATATGTTGAAATCTGACTCCATGTGCTTAGTGACCCAAACTACAAATTCACACTACTGATAGTTGAGTTATGACATCTAACATTATGTGAGCCATGGAGCTTGCAAATAGCCAGACGTTCCAATCACTAGCGCCCTCGCGCCTGCGGATACTGACCATTGCTCTGCTCCCCGCAGGAGACTCGCTACGAGGACCACACGTACTACGTCACCACCACCGTGCCGCACGTAATCACCCAGACCAGCACCTCGTCGACTGTGTCGCGGACGTACGTCACCGAGACCGCGCACCAGTACCGCTACGTGGCCGTGACGCCGGTGCCCGTGACCGTCACGGAAACGGTCACGCACTGCTACCAGTAGTGCACGAGACTCGTGATAGCTGTATACATGTGAGCCGTGCAATTAGACTAATAAATGCCCTCCCTTTATACGTTGCTTTTGAGGTATGTGCAGTTGGGGAGCGCTGGGTTTAGTTTCGATCGTCCTGGAACTGCGGCAGTACGAAGTCGTCGTCCGCTGATGAAAGCGTGAAATTTGAGACACTCGGCCTGACTAAGAAGCATACAACATCCAGGGGGCTTCGGTTGAAGGAGACTTTGGATAGTCATGGAGCTTGTTTTTTTACGGCACGTACTTTTTGAGATTTGTTTTGACTAATCAAATTTATCATTTCATTATAGTCCTTAGCCTCTTGCATATCTGAATCCTGAAACAAGTGTTCTTCATTCAGCAGTAATGTTACGTAAGGGTTAAGTGCGGGGGTTATGTAACTGCGAGCAGACGTCTAGCATCATTGCATTTACATATCAAATGTTTTCGATGCAGCAGTGCAGAGCCGGATCTTCTAATCTAATGTATGTGTCGCCTGAGGCACCAGCGTCCAGCAGGCTCACGTGGGAGACCAATCGACCGAATTTGACTGCACTTGCGTCGGTACCTATAACTTCGTGGCGCTGACCTACTCTCCCTAAACAAGTTCGTGGGCGTTGAAGGCATCTTTGCCCACAAGTTTTTTTTTGCGTGCGTAAAGAAAACTGATGGGCAGCGCCGTGAAACTAAGCAAATAAAGCCTGCCATTCATCAATTTCGCATCATGTATTTAAATTTAAGATAATCCTAATTTTAAGGTCCTAGATCATTTGTTGACCTGCCAGGTCAGGTCAATGGCCCATAAGTCGAGGAAATCGGGATCTGTTAGAAAGTCGTAAAGTATGGCTGCTATGAGGATTTTCGGGGTGCTGATCACGAATATCGTGTTAGTTTTGTTCGCAGATGACGTCTTTACCCCTCGCCCGCATATGGGGGGGGGGGGGGTTTGCCACCCCCCAGGTAGTTTTTCCTGCTCTGCACTCAACATTTTTAGAGCTAGGAGGATGATTTTTCGTATAGCTGCTCCTCTATTCTTTCTGGATGTCCACTGAAAATTTCAAGTTTCTGTGGTTTTTGGTTTCGGAGATATGACCTTGTTTTTCAGGTCATGTCATGACCCAAATGACCAATTCTCAACATCTTGCGTTGGCTATGGGCCTTGTGAGCTTTTGACACCTTGATTTCGGCCTTTTTTTGCCAGTCTTACCTCGCACCTATCATGGAACATGTTGTTCGACGATGTACAGATGTCAAGGTCAGGGTCAAGGTCAACCTAGGTCATCTAAGATAATTGCGTTTTAGGCAAGTAGCACTTACTTTTTGTGAAGTTTTTTTTACTGCATTTTTGGTAAAAGCTTCTCAGATCATGGTTTCATGTAATATGGACACATAAACAATCGGTGCACACATCAGTATACACACAGACACACACAGACATACAAACACATATAATTGACCTTGACCTAACTTGACCTGAAATGACCTCAGCAGCAAAAACCTGGTCGGGTGGTGTGACAAAGAGGTTCTAGCTGGCTTGGCACCAGAAAACGGCATCGTCATTGGTATATGATAAGCAGCGCACTAGATATCCAACGGTGACCCAAAACAGCAACATTTTTTTAGTTTGACCTGACCTGGAAGGTCACTGACTGACCTGACAAGGTAAAACTGGGTGTCATTGGATTCGTCTCTTCCCAAAGAATCTTTTTGGTGTTTACCGCTAAGTTCTATCTCCAACAGGAACGAAATGGCGCGGGGGGGGGGGTGGCAACCCCCCATGTGTGTTCTAGGATGGGAAAATGGCATGTGCGGGCGAGGGTTAGGCATTTAGACCAGGTCGGGTCAGGTCAGGTCAACCAGTAGGGGTCGTGACGGGCATTTATAGTACGTGTCAACGGCATCTGACAGCTCCGTAACATGTTACGAAGGCACCAAAACTACATACTTTACAAAAGTTAAAATGGTTGCTAAATTCGAATTCAGCCCCAAAAACTAGCCTAGAAACATGCAAAATTCGGAAAAGGGAGCCGAGGTCAGCAAAGGTCAATGACCTGACCTGACCTTCAGGTGACCTTGAAATCCACCTAAAAGCATGGGAGCAACATCAAATCACATGTTTGAACGCTTGAAACCACGAAAAGACTGCAAACGCGCGGCTAATGCGAGCCGACATACACCGAATGGTGATTCCGGCCAAATGTGGTCTCGAATAGTAGGGCACAGGTCAAAGATCATTTGGTCAGAGTCATTAAAATATTCAGAGTAGGTGTTAAAATCATCAAAGCGAGGGTACTGAAAATTTGGTCGCAATCGGCCATTTGTTAGGCGAGTTATTTGCGAAAAACCTTAGGGGTGCTGTATCAACCCTCCGATGTGCCGGTGAGGGTTAACCTTCGCCCGCATATGCCATTTTTCCATCCTAAGACGCACATGGAAGGGGGGGGGGGGGTGCCACCTCCCCCCGCGCCATTTCGTTCCTGCTGGAGATAGAGTTTTGCGGCAAAGACCAACCGATTCTTTGGGAAGAGACGAATCCAATGGTACCCAATTTTACCTTATTAGGTCAATCATTGAACTTCCAGGTCAGGTCAAACTAAAAATGTTGCTGTTTGAGGCCACCGTTGGAATATCCCGCGACCGCCTGGGGGGGGGGGGGGTCCGTGCTACGTTGCACTACTTGTTGCTATATCATCCAAAGTTATTGTTGGCCCACTCTAATTTTCTCAGCACGTGTGCCTTACGTGTAGTGGAAGACAATATCTAAATTTAAGCAAAATCGAAGGGTACCCATTTTTCAAAAATTATATTTTAAGAAATAATTCAAAATAAAATAAATTCAGAGTTTTCAAAATATATTAAAACTGCCAAATTTTGCTAGTATAACTCCTTATGTATACGTTCCAGTTTGTTTGAAAGCAATAGCTTCAAAAATGTTGAAGCTATAGATCTTTCAAGATTGCAGTACACGTCCAATTCTGTTAAAAAAGCAGAAGTTTAGCGGCTCGTATTTCTGTAGCCCGAGGGCATATGACAAAATCCTTTCACCCTCAGAGGTTTCACCCAATAGGCAATAAGTATACCAAGTTTGAACAAAATCGCAGAGGTGACCGATTTTGGCTGTCCCGGTTGACATGGAATGCCCCCACTAGATTCCTGGGACAAAGCCTGTCTAGAAAAGTGCATTTTTATGTCAAAAATAAAAAGTTATAAATCGACTTTTTTCTTAGCCCTCGTTTAGTTATGTATGGTATAAACGATTTTTATGCTTTCAATGCAAACTTATCACCAGCACAGTGACTTGGGGTCACATATAACCATTACCATCGGATTCGGCGTGAACAATAAGCCATAAAACATGTGACGCACGCCCATGTAGCAGAAAGTGAAAGTGTAAAGTGTGTGTCATTGCTTATCGCCGTTGCCTTGCATTAATTGCTGCTTATATTTTATGGGTTTAGGCTTAATTAGTTCGTAGTCTAATTATACCTGCGTGGTGGCTATATTTCATTTTCGCATTTTCAACGCTCGCTACCTTTGCCGCTCTCCGCCCGCACTCAGCTCACCGCAGCTGACCCCGCGGTCGGCCCAACGGCGCGTCATAGTTTATCCATGTGTGACTCATTGTCTCCAGCCCGCCACGACGGTGCCGCTGAGTCGCGCCAGCCTGACGCCCGCCATCCGTCATTCATGCCGGCCCGCGCAGAATAGTGACCTGGTTAATGTCCACCAATGCTTCTGACGCGCTTCTTGGAACGATATCATGCTACGCCCCCTCAACCCCTCAACCACGGTGCCAGCGCGTGACGATTGGCAACTCATCTGACACGTGTCTTCTGAGAGCTACCAGAGGGCCGAGGGGCGGTGACATAGTAATAACCAATCACAAGACGAGTCTTAAAGCGAAAATGTTTTAATCCAATAGCGGGCCGTCACGCAGGATAGTTTTATATTCTAGTATGTGGTAGGAACTAGGTCGGGGTGAGCCGAGCCGAGAGCTCCCCGGCAAAGGGAGGGCAGAAGACCCCCGGCCGTCACCCACGCCGGACGTGTTTCTGCATCGGTCTCGACCGACACCGTAGCTGACCATCTCGCTGTGTTGTGCTCGTGAACAATACACCTGGACCGGCAGAGCATCTCTTCTGGCAAGGGCTGACAACAACACCGGCGCGCCCCCGCCCTGGGCACGAGAAACCGCCGTGTTACAAAAGCCGTGACCTTTCGTGACCTGACCTGACCTTGACCCGTACTAAGTAAACTGAAAATAAATTTACACTCGCGTGCCGGTGACACGAAAATAAGCACCAATGAGAGGCGTTTTGGTAGGGTGTAACACAACTCAACTGTGTAACTGTGGGGTGTAACGCCGAAGAATGGTGCAATTACTCGGTGTTCAAAATCAACACCGACAATTAACACCAATGCCACCTCAGACCAACTGACGCTACGGATAAATAACACCACCATTTGGTGTCAACACCCCGTGACAGAGACGTTATATCGCAAACGCCACACAATGGTGTAGCTCCCAGTTCATTGGTCTCTAAACGGTGTTACTAGCACCGTTACCATGGATCAGATATGGCCTTGGATTCAAGGTCAGCCGGCCGCCGGCCAGCGCGAGCGGTTGCGCGTGCACATGCGTAAATTCAAATGAACGGCGGCGCGGCGTGTTGATTCGCGCTTCAGTTTGAAACGAGTGATGCGGGGATGTGTGGAGACTGGAGGTGGTGTGAGATGAAGATGGAGCCTGCCGCGGGATCATCACAGGTATGATTTTGTGATATTAAGTTAGTGTCTGATTACTTCGTTAATTGCTGTGCCGAATTGATGTTATATTGTTTTAAGTCAGAATTCTGGAATTGCTGCCTGGTATGTTGAAGCCTCGATACTAAGTAGGTGCAATGCGATACGTTTGTATTCTTAAATATGAATTAATTCAACCATGCTCATGATCCCAGTAGCATAGAATGTGCATCATAGTCGTGAGATAGGTACTTGAAGGTGCAGAGATAGTATATTGAAGTACCGATCCCAACGTACGTACACCCCCCTGCACGCTGCGTGGTAGGATGAAGGTATGTAGTTATTTTCACTTATATCGACCAAACATCTTGGATAAACATCCTACAAACGTGAAATCGGTACCGACTTCACGTTTGTAGGATGTTCATCCGCAGAGGCATTATGCATATTTCTTTTGCTTCGCACGTTTCAAAAGCATTTATTTTTAATCGTATATCAGTATAGCCAAAATTAAACCGCAGAAGTATCAAAATGTAAAAGTAAATTCCCGACATTTTGCAGCAATGCGTGAAAGGGACAAAAGGGTAAAAGAAACGTGGCCTGAATCGAAATCTAACTATAATGCATGACATTTTTATCACCTTGGATCAGCATCCACTACATAGTTTCGATGTTTAACCTTCACCCCAGTGGGGGGGGGGGGGCATATGTTACCACCCTGTCGCGTTTTTTTTTTTGCGTGTGAATAAAAAACCGTGGGCCGCGCCGCTTAAAGTAGCTTTCTGTAGGTACATCAATTCTGGACAATGTGTAAAATTTTGGGCCCCAGGTCATGTCAGGTCAGGTCACCAGGTCAAGTAAACTGACCAAGCCTAAAAACAAGTTTGCAATCATGTCCAGCCTGCAGTGTTTGGCAGAGAGGTTTTAAACTTGGTGGATTGCATGATGTTATAGGCGCCTATAATGTGTATATCTCGGATTTTTTTATATCCGTGACCTAAGGTCAGGCCAGTGGCGTGACCTTACCATTATAAGTCAATGGAGACAAATGAAAATGCCTCTAGATCCGTGTGTACGCGTAGCAACAGTTTAAATATTTCAGAATCACAATGATTTGGACCACCCGTGACCACCAAGGTGTCCTTTTTGCTGATACCCTCTAGAAAGGTCATCCGAGATCATTTGAGGCTACAAACAGATTTTTGCCAATAACTCTCGATTGGAAAGAGATAGAACGTTGGGGATGGCCTTATTGTGTTTGTCTTGTTGAGACGCATCGACTGATATGCAACATGACCTTTCCCGGTCAGGTCATGACCTTGACCTGGGGTCAAATTTTCAAGTTGACTTTTTAAGGTCAAATTATAGTTCATTCGACGCGTCTCGGCGAGAGGAACACAGTCCTGGCAATAGAAATGTCGTGGCTTTTTTAAGTCAAAAGTTATTGTCGAAAAAAAAAACATTTTTCGTAAAAACAGCTATTTTTCGAGTTTTTGCCCTCTGGAGGCTAAAATGTTGACCTGAGGTCAATTTTGATGATGACCTTATCAAAAGAAAAGTTCAAAAGCTATCGATTGCTTTTCCATGCGTTTTTGTAGTATCATAGTTCCTGGGATAACGACATGTTTTCTAAAATATGACAATGGCAAATTTTGAGTTTTGATGACCTCTGGTGACCCCTATATTGCTCTAAGATGAAAAATGACTGAAATACTTTCAAACGTACGCATTAAGCGCTATCGACTGCTTTTTACTGCGTCTTTCTAGCCCTCTTATTTTCTGAGTTAGAGGTGGGTGGTAACATATGCCCCCCCCCCCCCCCACTATGCGAAGTTGGCTGAGACCGCCACTGGGGCGCGGGTTAAAAGATATGTGTTGAAACATCTACTAGTTTTTATATTTTGTTTATCATATTTTTCTTCAGTGCCAGCCGCCAGGGGTGGTTTGAGATAGGTAGTAATAGTGTAATATCAACGCTTGCACTCAGTGAAGCTTAGGCACTGTCTCCTCAGCTTATTTCAAGGGTAATAATCTTCGTTACCCACAGTTGAAAATGAACCTGCTGATCTTCGTGCAGTAAATCACTGAAACATGTACTCGCACCTTAAACTTTCATTATGCCTTACTGTGAGTTAACTTGAAGTTGCAACATACACCATTTTAGTAAATGTGCACTATCTGTTGCAGATGTGGAAAGAGTTCGGTAGACTGACAGGCTGGGAAGGAGATGTCAAAGCCGACTGCGCACAGCGTCTCCGAGACGTGTTGGACCGCGTGAAGTTGGAGACCGGCTGTGGAGGTGAGTTCATTCTACACGTTTCTCAAAGCGATAAGGTACTGACTGCTGAATGTTGAAAAATATTTTTTGCGGAGCGCAAGCTAAGTCAGTGCATTTCCCTTGCAGATGATACTGTGTCAGCTCTGCTGTCGCTGCTGGGTGAGGACGACGCGGTGTTCCCAACAAACATGGAGGCGTGGCCTTGTATTGTGGGCGAGAACCTGTGTGTGGAAAAACACGGAGGTCATGAAGACGAACGGGCTAAGCAGCCAGGACAAACTGCTCCTGTGGGGAATCGTTTTCTCCGTCCTGTCACAGAAAATGACATTCACGGCATGCCAGTGTACGGCCACCCTCATGAACGTTCATGTGCTGAGGGCGGATGAGATAGGCTCCATGCCAAAGAGGCTCCGAGCTGCCTGGAGTAGGCTGACTGCTCCAACTAAGTACAGGGTGTTTCACAATAAACGTTACTTTTGATAAGCTTTTAAAATGACCTCAGCTATTCGTATGCCCATAAATTCCATATTCATTTTGTTGCAAATTCTTTCGGTTTTTTTATCCTTATAAAAACTATGACGAATCATCAACTGCATTCTTTATGTACGTGCAATGTCCACACCATCAAAACAGGTCAATTCGTTGTTAAGCTTCAGGGTCCTTCACAATGAATGTTGCTTTTCAAACGACGATGTTTCAGTGACATGTATTACAATATGGCTCATGAGTATTACCACATGAGACAGCAGACCAGTAGGACTGATGAACATATAACTTTCAGTTCAGCACCCTTCACGGGTTCTCCACTATGCCACCCTTCCGTCTGACTTTTTCAACCAGATTCTCTGGGATCGCCGTCCGGCCAGGAGTCGGGGCTGGTCTCGTGTTTCCAGTCTTCTGGAACCTTTCTACTACCCGTTTGAAAGACATTTTTGACGGAATATCCTTCCTCCTTTTAAATGGCTACCGAAACTCCGTCGCACTGCGGTCAGACTCCGCAAAGCGCCGTAATGCATGACCACCCATACCGCCTCATCATCTGTACACGGCGAATTGACCCGTTTTGACGGTGTTGGCATTGCACGTCCATACTGATGTAACCGTTGACGGTTTGTATAAAAAAAATGTAAGGACTAAAAACCGCTACAAATTTGCAGTAAAATGCATATAAAATTTACGAGCTTACAAACAAGTAAGATCTTCATTTAACCTATTCAAAAGTAACATTTATTGTGAAACACCCTGTAGGTGACAAAAAGATGACGTTCAGTTGAGTTCATGAGCCTGCTCCTGTTCATGGTGACTTGTGAGTTAGGGCTCCAGGCGGCGCGGAGTCTCTTTACCATAGTGCTTTGGTTATCATACCAAGATTGTTTAGAAAAAACAGAGTCCGGTGACCACCCGTGCACTTGAGAAAGCGCCACTCACAGTTGCCGCAATTTTTGTTAATAACATTTGTTTATTGCTCGTCTCGGAGGCTACAAAATAAATTGTCTTTATTTAAGGAATGCTTTGCTTTGTATGGGGTCTATGGCAAGCGACAGTATACGCATATGGACTTGTCACATATGTTCACACAGACGCATGCACACGTATAAGTATATATATATATATATATATATATATATATATATATATATATATATATATATATATATATATATATATTAATTCATCGAGATGCAGCTACACCAAACACCGGTGTATCTCCTTCACAACACCGGAAGGGGGTGTACCCAATTGGCTGCTAACACCACACATTGGTGTAAAGGTATTTGTTTTGTACCCGTAAAGAAGGTGCAAATTAATGGTGTAGCACCTTTTTATGGTGTAAAGACGTGGTGTAGCACCACAAACTGGTGTACTTACAGTGATTTAACACCATACGCCAGTGTATGTGCCTGGTGTTACACCAGGATTCAGTGTATGCTTACACCAAAACTTGGTGTTGAAACTACACCGGTGCAGGTGCTCAAAAACGGTGGGGTGTAAACATTTCCTAAAAAGGTGTAAACACCAGGAGCGGGTGTGAATTTATTTTCAGTGTAGACTTTGAGAACCAAACCATGATCATCGGAAGGTATGTGTACCCACTCAAAACGAAACAAGGAAAGAGTACTAAAGAAACAAATTTAGTGAGACTCGCGGAGGACGTAGACGTCTTCCCTCGCTCGGACTTGCAGGTGAAATGCGCGATCACAAAGAAAAATAAACCAGGTGAAGGCTTCGTCGTTACTCAGCTCCCCTCGTCCCCGTGTTTCGAAAACGAACCAGGTATTCTGCTACCAAACGCCGTTGTCAAGCTCTCGAAAAACCGCCATATCCCCTGGGCAATTGTGAACGAAACGGGCCGGTATTTGCATTTCAGAAAAGGACAAGTTATTGGAGTAGCTACAAAAATTTCCGATTCAGAACTTGAACCAAACATTTCATCAATATCGAAATCAGAGGAGAACGTCAAAGAAAGCTCAGAGGATAAAATTCGTTCATTCAGGCTAGATCACATCCCAGACGATCAAAGAGACCAATTGAAAACGCTTCTACTTGGTAACATGGATATATTTGTTGAAAAAGATACGGAATTGACCATGACCAATGTGACAGAAATGAGGATCAATACGCAAGATCATCCGCCAACATACCAGGCCCCTAGGCGACCGCCACTCGCTTATCGAGAGGCGCTAGAAAAGCAAATTCAGGACATGCTAGCTGCAAATGTTATCCGCCGGAGCAATTCACCGTGGATGTCACCTGTTCTGTTGGTCCCCAAAAAGGATGGCTCTCTCAGACTTTGTGTAGACTTTCGAAAATTGAATGCTATTACGGTCAGGCCAGCTGCAAGCATCCCGTCGGCTGACGACATATTCTTTGCGCTCGGAAAATCAAAGTTCCGCACTTGTCTGGATATGAAGCAAGGTTTTTGGCAAATCCCTATCAGAGAAGAGGACAAAGAAAAGACTGCTTTTGGCACAGATGCAGGCATTTTCGAATATAACCGGATGGCCTTTGGTCTTTCTGGCTCGCCAGCCGTTTTTCAAAATTGCATGAATGCTGTTTTAGGAGATATCCGTCATTTTGCCTTAGCGTTTGTAGATGACATCATAGTATTCAGTGAAACACTTGAGGATCATCTGAAGCACCTAGATGAAGTATTCGCCAGGCTGCGAAAAGCCAACCTAAAATTAAAAATTTCGAAATGTGAATTTATCAAGGACAAGCTCAACTATTTAGGTCATATCATTTCAAATGATGGAATTTCGGTCGACCCCCAAAAAGTCTCAGCGATGCAAAACATGCAACCTCCCCAGAATGTGCGAGATGTCAGAAGTTTCCTCGGTATGGCGTCATACTACAGAAAATTTGTTCCAAATTTCAGTAAATTAGCAAAACCCTTGAATGCATTGACAAAGAAGCATGCTAGATTCCACTGGACGCCCGGAGCGCAAAGCGCATTCGAGTCAATCAAACAAGCACTTCTCCAGGCCCCGATCTTGGCTTTCCCAGACATAACTAAACCTTTCAAACTGTACACCGATGCTTCTCAGTACGCCTTAGGTGCAGTTTTGATGCAAGAACATGACGGTCAAAATCGGGTCATTCAATACATTTCACACCAGTTTTCGGAGCAAAAACTCAAATGGCCTACTATCGAACGCGAGGCGTTCGCTATCGTCTATAGTTTGGAAAAACTTCGACCGATTATCATTGGTACCGATATAACCGTTTATACAGATCACAAGCCGCTCAAGCATTTGTTCACGAGTGAAATGAAAAATCCTCGTATCCAAAGATGGGCTATTATTCTCGGTGAATACGATTGCAAAATTGAGTACATTTCCGGCCCCCAGAACGTAGCAGCCGACATGCTGTCGCGATTGCACAATACCCCAGTAGCAGGTGAACTGAACGACAATGAGCACCTCGATTGGCAAGGAGAGTCGATGGACAGGCACGTATCCAGGATTTCGCTCAGGGGGGGGCGACAGCCGAGAAGGGCCCGGAGGTCAGCCAAAAGGGGCCCCACAGCGACTGTCTATCCTGGCGTGTAAAAATTCGAGAATGTCGAAAAAACAGCAAATTTACGATAGAATTTGGCAAGAATTTAGAATTAGAATTTGAATTAGAATTTAGAATTTGAAGTTCGTTAACCCGCGCCCGGCCGGGGGGGGGGGCTGTTTGAACACCTCCTCCTTGCGGTTTTGCGTGGATATAAAAAAGAGGGATGAATCTTCTCTACAGATATGAAAATTTTACACCCAGGTCGCTCAAGGTCAGGTCACCAGACCACGTCAAGTGACCTCACCTCAGAAAAGGTTAGAATGCTCTCCATAGCAACACCGACTGAACGATCGGCTTGAAACTTTTAGCGATTGATAAGAGTAACAGTATGTATAAAATGATTATCTCGAAATTTGCATACCGGTGGTGACATAAGGTCAAGTCAATTTTTGCGCCCTCTCCATTAGGTTTTATAAATAGGAGAAAATCGAAAGGTGCCTCTTTTAGGCAAACGTCATCCTAGGCACCCTCAATCACCTGGTTACATAAAAAATGACAACCTAAATCGGAAATTTGTACCCGTGACCCCTCCTTATGTCTATGGGGTCATCTCAGGTCACGAAACGTCTCCACAGCTTTTGACAATAGCATTTGTTAGAGACACGCTAGAGCGTTGAAAACACCTTAGATGTGTTCAGGCCTTATCGACGATACGGTTTGACGGATGTGCAACATGACCTTTCAGGTCAGGTCACCTAAAATTTAGTTCAAATTTTCTAAATGACCTGATAAGGTCAAATTATATGTAGTTCATTCGACGCGTCTCGACGAGAGTAACACGATGCTGACAAAAGAAATGTCGTGCCTTTTCCTGAGTCGAAAATTGTTAAAGAAAAAAAAGTGTTTCATAAAAACGACTATTTTAAAAGTTTTTTCTCTCAAGAGGCTAAACCGTTAACCCGAGCACCGACGGGGGGGCTGTTATCCGCCCCCCCTTGAGGTTATCGTGAATAGCGGGAAAACCGCGGCGCGTAGCGCCGCGAAATTTGGCATGACTATTTTCTCATTAATTTTACACATGGTGTGCAAGTTTAAACCTCCTAACTTTTAAGGTCAGATCACCAGGTTACTTCGAATGACCCAACCTCAAATCACTTTTTTGCAACTTTGTCACGTCGTGTCAGAGCTACAGTAGATAACGGAGTATGATTCGATGCGGATTGACGAGAGGATCACGATGGTGCCCTTAGTTTGTTCCTAGCTTGGCTAATTCGAAAGTTATTCGAGAAAAACTCCGCCATTTTGACTTTTTTTACCCCTGTGACGTCATCTTTGACCTGATCTGGAAATGACCTAATTAAAAATTGTAGACCTTGTCCGTGCGTACCCCATGCCGTTTACCGCTTGTCGCTATCTTGCTTCGTTCTTGAGATCTCAGGGGGCG